GCAGCAGCACCAACCCTGCCCGCCCCGGCCAAACGCCCTCCTGTCTTCCCAGCAGAATGAGGCAGGAGAGATTCGGCCACACCACGTGCCCCCACACCAGCCCGGCCTCGAAGGAATTCCACTGGAGGACATAGATGTGTCAAGGAAGATAAAAAACAGATGGAAAAGAGATAACAAGCGAGGCACTCTGGAAGCAACAGCAAGGGCAATACCCTGGAAAAGGGATTGCGCCCTCCTGGTCAATGTGTTAATCATGCTATCTTCAATTCATTACCGCAGAGCCCGTCTTTCCCAAGAGTTTTCAGATTTTATCTCACCTGTCTTTCTACTTCAAGTAATAGCGAAAAAAAGAACTATTGTGCCCGTTTTACTGCAAGAATTAAAAAAGGTGCAGCATGTTGACACGGCCAAAGGGAGAGACTGAAGCCACTCAGGCCTGCAGCCACTAGCCCTTTCTTCATGGGGACAACCTCCTGGAGGCTGAAGCTGACCTGTCACATTTTTGTGTCTTCCTTCACCTCAGTTTGAAGGTTTTCTCTGAGGCACTGCCATTAACAAGGTCAGCAGGAGAATGAGGCGCATCGCTATAGAGGTTTGGAGTCCACGGGTATCCACACACTGCCCCCAGTATCCTGTGGGTCTCCTGTTCCAGTGGGTCGGCCCCGTGGGTTCTCTCCGGCCCCCTGGCAGCGCCCTCTACAGGCTGCAGCTGCAGCCCTGCCTCTTCTGGCTTTGATCTCCCAGAGCGCACTTCCCTCCCGCCTGGCTAATTAATCTATGTCTAAATGGAATTGTAGTTGGCAGAAAGGCAGCAATGCCAAAGTGGAATAATCACATGGACCCGCATCTGAGTTGTTTTCCATCCTTGACAACAAATGTTACCCCAGAGCCTGCAGGCCAAGAGTTGAAATGAGTTTATAACTTGGCTTTCCATCTCCTCGTCTTATTCTCAGCCACTTAAATTTTCTTCTCCGTCTTTTAGCATGCAGGGGGCAGCTTTGGAGGCTAAGTCGCCAGCATGGTCTTTCCTGATATCCTTAATAAATTTTCTTTGCCATCTAAATAAAAGCAGGGTGAAATCCCCATTATTCCAAACCACTCTTGTTTTTTGTTTTCTTTCTTTCTTTCTTTCTTTCTTTCTTTCTTTCTTTCTTTCTTTCTTTCTTTCCTTCTTTTTAGGGTTGGCAGAGCCATTTGAGACTTTATTTTGGGGAGGAAAAAAAACAACACTTGATTTGGCTCTTAGTTGGGGGCACGGGAAAGAGGCAGCCCCCCAGGCAGTAAATTCCCCCACCCCAAGGGTGAGCTGAGGACTAGGGATGAGCCTCAGGCGGGGCTTCCTGGGCCCGCAGCTTCCGGGCACAGCTCCTTTCCCAAGGCTTGGAGGACAGGAGGGCCCGCAGTCATCATTCACTTGGGATGGACATCAGATGACTCAGACACCAGCTTCCCATCGCGGGTCTCAATCTTCTTCACAACCACCGTCTTGGAGGAGCTGGTGTGGCTGAAGCAGCCAGAGCTCCTGCCAGAGTCCAAGTTGGCCTGGAATCCCAGGCCATAGGTGAGGTTCCCATAGATGGGGTCCTCGGCCCACCCGAGTAGCCGCTGGTGGTCTTGGTATGGGTGCTCATGTTCTGCATCCCAGATTCCAGCGGGTTCTCCTCGCCCTCCAGCAGCTTGCGGTAGGTGGCGATCTCCACGTCCAGGGCCAGCTTGACGTTCACGAGCTCCTGGTACTCACGCAGCTGCCGGGCCATGTCCCGCTTGGCGTTTCTCAGAGCGGCCTCCAGCTCAGCCACCTTGGACTGAGCATCCTTGATGGCCAGCTCCCCACGCTGCTTGGCATCAGCGATGGCAGCCTCCAGGGAAGCCCTCTGGCCTTTGAGGCCCTCGATCTCAGCCTGGAGTCGGCTGATGCTCCAGTTCATCTCAGAAATCTCAGTCTTCGTGCGATGCAGGTCATCCCCGTGCTTCCCAGCCAACGTCTGCAGCTCCTCATACTTGATCTGGTACATGGTCTCAGCCTCAGCCTGGCTGCGGTTGACGATGTCCTCGTACTGGTCCTTGACCTCAGCGATGATGCCATTGAGGTCCAGAGAGTGGTTGTTGTCCATGGACAGAACCACAGATGTGTCGGAGATCTGGGACTGCAGTTCACGAATCTCCTCTCCATACAGCTGCCTGTAGAAGTTGATCTCATCGGTCAGCCCTTCCAGGCGGGACTCCAGCTCTACCTTGTTCATGTAAGCTTCATCCACATCCTTCTTGATGAGGACAAATTCATTCTCCATCTCTGTGCGCTTGTTGATCTCCTCCTCGTACTTATTCTCCAAGTCCTCCACCAGTCCCTGCATGTTGCCAAACTCTGCTTCCAGCCTCAGTTTCTCCTGACCCACGTGTCCAGACTCATGCTGGTGCCCAGGCCACCTCGGTAGCTGCTGCCCACAAGGGAAAAGGACGGACGGGGAGCTGATGCGATTGCCCGGTGCACTGGAGTATGAGCGGCTGCTGAAGGCCCGGGGTCCAGAGGTGGACACCTTGTAGGTCTTCTGGGTCACCCTTGTGGACATGGTGGAGGCTGGAGTGGAGGCGAGAAGGCTGAACCAGACAGAGATTCGAGAAGAAGCCAAAAAGCTGCTTGTCCAAGCCACTCTTGTTTTAATAATGAAACTAAGTAGACTTTCAGCTCATACCTCCACATGATTATTAATCATCTAATTCGGTAGCTGCTGCCCACAAGGGAAAAGGACGGACGGGGAGCTGATGCGATTGCCCGGTGCACTGGAGTATGAGCGGCTGCTGAAGGCCCGGGGTCCAGAGGTGGACACCTTGTAGGTCTTCTGGGTCGCCCTTGTGGACCTGGTGGAGGCTGGAGTGGAGGCGAGAAGGCTGAACCAGACAGAAATTCTAGAAGCCAAAAAGCTGCTTGTCCAAACCACTCTTGTTTTAATAATGAAACTAAGTAGACATTCAGCTCATACCTCCACATGATTATTAATAATCTAATTTGTTCTTCTCACACCAAAAACTTGAAGAGAAAGGTTTAGTTTTTCATTTACACACTGTCGTTTACATTCATCCAGCCTCCAAGAGTCTGGTCCTAGGAATGCAGAACTGCAGGTGAAGAGCCACAGGATGGCTCAGCTCCTCCCTCTTTTCCTACTAAAGAACTTATTAAAAGTTTGATCCTTGGCTCTGGGAAGTACATTGTCTCCTTAGCAGTTACACACATCATGTTCCCCAAGAAGGTCGTCATCTCAAGCTAGAAATGGAAAAGGAAAGAGACAGGAAGGCAGAACCACTGACAGGACTCCCCTAGAGATCACTGTGGGAGGATTCCTGAAGGTGAACCACATGCTAAGGACAGGTGGGTGTATTCAACTGGACACATCCCCCATTAGAAGAAAGGGAAGAAACCTCAACTGCACACCTATCATGTTCCGTACACTGTGCTAGCTGCGTTACATATGAACTTATTTGACCCCCACAACAATGCTATGGATACATGCACAATATTCCCATTTTACAAATGGGGAACGTGAGGCTCAAAGGTGTTAGGAAACCTTCCCAACTAGTATATGGTAAAACTGGGATTTTTCTGACTTCAAAACCTAAACTCCCATCAATAGATGAGTGGATAACAAAGCTGTGGTACATTTATACCATGAAATACTATGCAGCCATAAAAAAGAAGGATCTCTTATCCTTTGAGACAGCATGGAGGGACCTGGAGGGCATTATGCTAAGCTAAATAAACTAGTCATAGAAAGAAAAGTATCACATGATTTCACTCGTATGTGGAATCTAACGTAAGCTCATGAACATAATAGATCCAGAGATACAGACGCATGGAACAGACTGACGAATCTCAGAGGGAAGGCGGGGGGTGGTGGGGTGTAGGTGGGGAGAGATTAACTGGGGAATTTATATGCATATATGCATAGCTCACAGACACAGACAATAGTGTGGTGAAGGCATGAGAAAGGGGAGTATAGGGTGGAGAGAGTCAATGAGGGACAAAAGGGGAATATCTGTAATAATTTCAACAAATGAAGATAAATAAATCTATATAAAAGCCTATGCAACCGAACGACCAGTCGCTATGATGTGCACTGACCACCAACGCAGACGCTCAACGCAGGAGCTGCCCCCTGGTGGTCAGTGTGCTCCCACAGTGGGAGCACCACCTAGCTCAAGGCTAGTGAGCGCAGCTGAGGCAGTGCCAGCCTCTTCCACCTCCGCGGCAGCAAGCAGTGGTGGCAGCAGGCGCAGTGGGGCGGGATGAGCAGGAGCAGTGCAGTTCCAGGGCTTGGGCTCCTCCCTGGCTGCCTACTGCTTGGCACACTACTACATCCCTCAGGGGATGTTGGACTGTGGGTTTTGGCTGATTCCCACAGGCCTCTGGGGATCGGGCCAAAACTGGCAGTCTAACATCCTCTGAGGGGTTCCAGATTGTGAAAGGGCACAGGCCAGGCTGAGGGACCCCACCAGTGCACAAATCCATGCACCAGGCCTCTAGTAAATAAATAAGCCTAAACTCTAAAAAGAAAAAGGAAAATAAGCCTCTACTTTCTCTATTATGCAACACTGTCTTATCTACAGGTGCTAGTCCTCGTGTGTGATTCCCTAACAGAGGTAGGTGCTGGCTTCATTAACGTGGTAACCTGGCAGACTGCCATTGAGGCCGTGGGAACACAGGCCCTCCCCAATCTCCTGAATCCCTCACTCTGCATAAGAAATCACAGTGACAAAAGCACACTCTTGGTCAAGTCTTCCTGAGTATCAAAGAAATAGACAATAAGAATGTGCTAAAAATGAAAATTAAATCCAGCAAAGCAACTGAAGGTACACAGAGTAGATATAGTACCTTGCATTGTCCAATTCAAAAAAAAAATAGTTCTCAGTAACATTCCCTCAATCTAAAAACTTGTATCCAGGTCTGAGGTCCCCTCTCCCATCATCTGATGCCCAATGTGTTCTCGAGAGACTGGCACAGAGAGTGAGGATGATAGAGGAGCTTCTGTGGTGGCTTCATGAGTTTTAGTTATAGTAGCGAGAGAAAGCAAGATGCGCATGAGAGTGACTTGGAGAATGTCCATGGAAACATCACATCCTTGGGTTTTGGAAAAGTCCCAGTTGGGATTCTAAAGGTCAGGAAGTCTGCCGCACCCACCCCACAGTAACAGAGTTTGTCATACATCTATTAGCAGTACTCCATGAATAAGTCAGCTGTCATCATGCTAAAAGAGGACTAGCAAAAGTCAACTATTGAAAAGAGCAGCTGAAAATGAGGACACTGAGATCAAGAACAGTTGAACAGTCTAGGAACCGGTTCTACTCAATGTACAATTAATAAGGGAAGGTTCCCAGCATTTTCATCTCCAAGGAACTTCAAAAACACAATTGGCCCAATGGTGCGACAATACCCATCCAGGTGTCTTGTAAGTTCCAAGGCTTCCTCACCTTCACAAATGTAAATCTTTAAATCTTTATTTAATCTAAACCATATGTCAGACACATTGATTCCTGAAATGTAAAAAATAAGGAGGGATTTGTGTGCCTCAAATAATAAATGAAAAGCACTAAGAGACTAGATATGTGTCTGCCAACTGAAGCTGCCTCGTGAGATTTTCTTTGTGCACATGTAGATAATAACATGTGTGTTTTTAAATCTTGATGGTAATTTTTTTTATTTGTATAAATCAATGGCGTCCTCTTTGTTATGGTACTGGAAGACAGAGTAGGGTTAGGGTCAGGAACTGTGTAGCCTACTTCTAAAATTATCTTTCTCAAGAATATGTTTCCCAAAAAGAAAGTGCTCTCGGATGCTACACATTACAAATCACATGTTACTATATTCTTGACCACGTTCCTTCCACATTAAATAATGTTACTGAAAATAGTAGGTTTTAGGGCACAACTAACTTTAAAAGCCATGCGTTCTTCCCCAAAAATGTTGTTCTCTGTTATTCTGTGAAATGAAAAACAGGATCTCTGTGTCCTGGTCTCATGTGAACAGAAGCAGACCAAACGAGAAGATATCTGTTTCTCATTCCTAATCCTTCCAGTGCAGGTAACTATTACTTCTTCCCTTCAATTTCTTACTCTGGTGAATGGGGATAATCTCAGATACTATTAGCAGAACTATCAAGACTATGAACAAAATTATCTTACTACTAAATTATATGAAGTCTCTTTTAAAATGTATGGGTTTATTACCTTTGAGGGTATCAAATAATTTTCCCTTATACTCCAAAGATTTATCCAGTGCCTCCCAAGCTAGGCAATGCGGGGGGAGAGGGGGTGTTCCTGTGAGTTTCCTCTTTGAATCATCTCCACATTATCAACATGGGAACCACTAACATGATGAAGGAGGAAATGACTCACCTGCTAAATAGAGATACAAATTATATGCTGTTAGAGCATAAAGAAAGACAGTCTGATTTGGATTGGAGAGGAACAGAGCAATATCTAGTCTCTTGAAGAGAAACTAAATTGCTCTGTTTGCCATTGGTTGTGAGACCAATAACCCAATTGTTCTCCTAAATCCGTTAAGATACAGACAGACAATTGATGCACCTCCATAAAAGAAAGCTGTTTCCCAGTACACAGTCTGCAGTGTCACAGTTATACTCACATGCAATTGTTCAGTTTATGAGATACCCTCTCCCAATAAATTCTTCTGGCCAGCCCTGCTCCTATTAGATATTGCAGCTGCTCGACACATGCTAGGTACCATCACAGATGCTAATGAGGCATGAACAGTGTTTCAGAGAGATTTGCTACAGATAATCCTGTGCAGAACAAAATATTGGGTGTTCATCTGTTGTGGACTGACTGTGTCCCCTCCAAACTCATATGTTGACATTCTAGACCCAGTGTGATGGTATTTGGAGGGTAGGGTCTTTGGGATCTAGTTCTGTCATGAGGGTGGAGGCCCCATGACTGGAATTAGTGTCCTTAGAAGAAGAGGCCAGAGGGCTAGCTAGTTCTTTTTTCACCATGTGAGGATACAAAGACATGTCAGCTATCTGCAACCCAGAAGAGGGCTCTCACCAGAACCCGGCCATGCTCACACCATCATCTTGGATTTCCAGTCTCCAGAACTGTGAGAAATAAATTTGTGCTACCCAGTTTATGGTGTTTTGTTATAGCAGCCCAAACTGACTAAGACATCATCTTAAATGCTTTACTATAAGACTTTAGACAAGTCTATAACTTCTGAGTCTCCACTTACAGATCTGAAAAATAAAGGCGTTGGACTAAATCAGTGATTTCAGTAAAAGAAGATGATCTTTATTTGTTGTCTTCCCACCCCCACACTGAGAATCCCTGTGTGTGAGAAGATATGTTACAGATGGGCTATGTTACAGCATTTAGACTTAGATGTTAAGACTTGGAAAGGGGAGCTTAAAAATAGTACAAGCTCTTATAAGAATTAAAATGATGTCTTTTCTGAGTAGAAAGATTTTACCAGACTACTTGATGATAGGAATCATTTGACAATCAAAACCATGAGTTTATCCATTAAACAAGTGTTACATCTTGTCATGGTCTTTCTGACACATAGCAGAATCAAGCATGCACAACTCTCCATTCAGCAAAGTAAACTCACCCCCAAAGAAGACATAATCTCAAGAGCAGTTCATCAAGCATACAATGTCCCAGGCCAGTGGTCGGCAAACCGCGGCTCGCGAGCCACATGTGGCTCTTTGGCCCCTTGAGTGTGGCTCTTCCACAAAATACCACGTGTGGGCGCGCACGAACAGTGCGATTGAAACTTCGTGGCCCATGCGCAGAAGTCAGTTTTCGGTCTGGGCGAGTCTATTTTGAAGAAGTGGCATTAGAAGCAGTGGGGGGTGTCGGTGGGTTGGGCGACAGGAGATGCAGCGCAGGCGGGCCGCGGGATACGCAGCGCGGGGGAGGCGCCCGATTCATGCACGAGTTGAGTGAGCCAGTCAGTCCGCAGTCTCATTGTGCAGTGGTTAGTGCTAGTCGCGTCCGCAAATCACACGCGGGTGACAAAAGTACCTCCTCGAAGCATAAAGTTACCTGTATTTTTCCAACCAGCTGCAAATCCTACAGGTATTTTTGTCATCAATTTAAGAATTGTAATTCTTTTGTGTTGGTGG